GATTTTCAAAGTTTCTGAAAGGAACTGATCACAAAACTTATGAGAGATCCTTGGCTTCAAATGCTCTCATAGTAAATATGCTTTATAAATCACCCCATGCTTTAGTATTTATGGTAAATTCACAGGTGCCAAAGAAGAGCAACAACCATAGCGGGTGCATAATATTTATAATGGTAATATAATTTACCATTACAGTATTATATATTGTCAGCTGCAGCCGTTGGAGAGGCAAGAACTCAGGTGTGTGAGAAGGACTTTCAGTGGGCCTTGATAAGGTTTTTGCAAAAGCTTTTGGTCCAGGCTGTGTAGAGCCGGGGGGGGACGACTTCTGAACTCCTGACCGTGACCGGAGACATTGTTGTGTTGGTTGGGTGGAGGGTGTCCTCAGGCAGTCAAAAGAGCATGTCGAGGAACTCCTTAACCTGGTTAACAAGTCCACTGCAGAGGAGGCAGATCCTGAAGACTTGGGGGAATCTTCAACCATATCCTTGGTAGAGGTTGCCATGGGAGTGAAGAAACTCTTGGAGGCAAAGCACCAGGTGTGAATGAGATTCACCTAAAGATGCTGAAGGCTCAGAACACTCAAAACGCTGTTGGGCTGCCTTGGCTGACACATCTCTTCAGTGTTGCACAGGCATTGGGTACGATGTCTGTGAAGTGGCAGACAGGGACGGTGGTTCTGATTTTTAAAAAGGGGAACTGGAGGGTGTGCTCCAGGTATCGGAGTATCACACTTCTCAGCCTCCCCGGGAAAGTTCACTCCTGGGTGCTGGACAGGAGACTCTGACCAATTGTCGAACCTCAGATTCAGGAGAAGCAATGTGGATTCTGTCCTGGTCGTGGAACGGTGGACCAGCTCTTTAGCCTGCAGAGCTGCTGAGGGGGTCATGAGTTCAACCAGCCAGTCCACGTGTGTTTTGTGGATTTGGAAAAGTCCTAAAACCATGTCCCCTGAGGGGCTCTGTGGGGGGACAATGTGGGACTATGAGCTACCGGGCTTGTTGATACGAGCCAGCCGGGCTTTGTCCAACCAAAGTGAGAGCTGCGTTCGCATTTGGCACATAATCAAACACTTTACGACGGGTGTTGACTCCACCAGGGCTGCCTCTCGTCTCCAATCCTGTTTGTGGTGTTCACGGACAGGACCTCCAGGCCCAGCCAGGGTGAGAAGGGTGTCTGGTTTGAGGACTGGTTGGGGACTGGGATGAGAGTCAGAACCTTTAAGTCCAAGGCCATGGTTCTGTGCCAGAAACTGGTGTATTGTTCCCTCTGGGTTGGTGGAGTTGTTGCCCCAAGTGAAGGAGTTTAAGTATCTCAGGAACATGGATCATAGCTTTATCCTGAACCATCGTGGTGAAGTGGGAGCTGAACTGGAAGGCAAAGCTCTCGATTTTAAGGTATGTCCACCTGGGAGGACACCATGGGGAAGATCCAGAACCCGCTGGAGGGATTACATATCTCATCTGGTCTGGGAGCCCCTCGGGATCCCCCAGAGGAACTAGAAGGTGTTGCTGTTTAGAGGGACGTCTGGAATGACCTGCTTCTCCTGCTGCCTCCGTGGATAAGCATGATCACAACAAAATATTTAGGCTTGGATTTATCAGACAAGTGGACTGTATGAACAAAATACAACAGTTTAAGGTTTCAGGGATCAGAACACTGCATGACATGTTATACATACTTGACATACGTCTTTTCTTTTAGGTCAGCAGCTGATGTTCGTCGTCGCATACTTCAAAGAAACAAGGACGTCAAGAAAACAGTGGTGCAAGACTTTCACAAGCAAAAA